TTGATCACCAAGTCTGGGATAAAACCCAGCAATCTACATTTCAGTCAAGTGTTCAGCAGATGAGAATGCTGCTATTATAGATAACATATATAAATATAGACCATAATTATGTAACAAGGCAGTTACATGCACTGGGTGTAACACTTACCAAGTGCCCATAATTGTATAGTTACCTCATAATGAAAAGCAAGTAGAAGTTATTAGATTAAAAAAAAAAAATATGCAGGTCCTCCCTTGTGGCGCAGCCTGTTAAAGCACAGCACTAAGAAGCTTAAGCCACTTCCGCATGAGTTCAATTCCCATCTGCCCCGGAGGTGACCACATGGCGCGGCAGACCTCTCCTGACCCGCCCACTGCTCCCCTCAGCAGTGTACTTCGTGGATCTGCCTGTTCTGCAACCCGTCTGTTTCTGGTGAATCCTCTCACCCTCCGCTCTTCTGGCCTGTACCCCCGTTCTAGATGAATAAATAAATAAATCTTTAAAAAAAATTATACAGCCTATATTAGAACTCAATTCTGATTTCTAATTTACTGTATCCATTCTTTCTGAGTATTAGAACTTGTCCTCGACTCTGGGGTGATAAGCAGTCATTAATTTATGATATTTCCATAAAACAATAGTCAAAAATATTTGTACATTTTCTTCTTAAATGTATATGTATAACCCAATTTTCTTGAAAATTTACTTGGATATAGTAATCTATAATACAGAGAAATTAAATGGACAGTGCAGACTTGCAAAGCTTTTTATTTCTTTGCCAAGCTCTTAAAACTTAGTATATGCAGCTAAACTATACATTTATGATCTCTTCATTTTATCCTTACAGATTCTGTGACATTGACACTCTACCTTGGCTTTTTCGCTGAAGGCCTCATTTTCTATTCCTGGAGCTAGCAGCATTCCATTTGACATTTGATGCACAGGAGATTTTTATAGAATCTAGGTTAGAAGATTGAATCTCCTGCCACATATTTCTGAATACAGATCTGTGTTACTTTTTCCAGGGGTCATTGGCATTTTACTTTACTTTCAATTGGCTTTGATTATTTAAAAAGATGCCTCCAGTGGTAAAAAAAAAAAAAAATGCATACTAATCTTAGGTGATAAAAACTTTTTAATTTGTTTTAAAATAAATTTTTTCACATGAAAGAAAACAATACTGATCCACTCTTATATTTTAAACTTAAAGCAAAAAATATTAATTTACAATGGTAGAGTGAAAAAAAAGTTCCCTACTCAAAACTGCAAAAATTTCCTTATATTTCTGGACCAGTAAATATGTTTAGAATCAGAAAATATGTTTAGAATGAGTATTACATAAGACTCAATATAAAGGTATTAGGTCAAGTACAGTATACTAAAACTGCCTTTCTAAATATCCTAACAAATGCATCATTTAGTTATTTGACTTTCTAAAGTATGTAACACATAATCAGCTTAGATAGTTCATTGAAAATGAACTCACCTAAATTAAAAACTGTTGTTTGCCAAATTACAACATCTTCATATAATTGTTGCTAAATTATTATACTTGGCACAAACTCTCATAGCTACAGGATATCTGCCAATATATACTGGCAAATTAATTGACTTATTTGATTAAGTTTGTAACTGATGATCCCTGATAAAATACAAATGGAAAAATATACAAAATAAACTTGTTATAATACAATGATTCTGTATAATATATATACACTTTTATATAAAACATTTTGTTTAATTGTCACAAAAAATAATGTTTCCTAAGAAGTAATATCTACTATTGGTTTTTCTCAGGAAACATTTTATAGGAGAATAACCTCCCCAAATAATAAAACTTGTAAATGTTGGAAATCTAATATACAACACCAAGATTTTTGTAACTCAAATCCCATCTCAACTATAGTTTTTCCTTTTATTAAATTTGGTTAGATTAAATTATCTTGGTGCAAAAACCAAACTCACTTCAGATTTAATGTAGACACTACTTAAAAACACTTGAATTTAAATTTATTGATAGGTAAGAGTATTTGCTGCTATACTAATAAACATTTACATAATTAAAACTTACATTTCTAAAGATGCTAGAAAATATTTTCACCTTTATTTAGTATGATATAAATGATATTTAGTATGATATAGTTTCATCTTTATTTAGTATGCTATATGTTATAGTATAATACACTTTAGTACCTAGATCTATAGTATAAAATATTGAGATATAATAGTTAATAATTACTCTGTTTTAGATATTGTGCTAAATTATACTCCTCTATCTCATTCATTGCTTAATTGTCATCAATGATTTTTTTGAATATGATTGATTAGCCTGATATGCCTGATCCTGGAAAAGTCACTTAACATGTGACACGATGCTATAGGTATGTTTTGAAGCTATTTTATTCCTTTGTAAAAGGTATTTTTAGGAAAACTGGAAACAAAACATTACTTTTTTATTAGTATTTCCTAAGATAATAATGTCAAGGAAAAGGTTTGTTTTTTAATTTTATAGGCTGATTTTTTTTTTGAGGATGTAAAATGGAGAATCATACAATTACTTTTTAATTTGTCATTTGATTTGCTCATGAATCCATGATAGATTTGACATACAAAAGCTGTTTTAAATTGATAGCTGAATTGAGGAAGTGAAAAACACAATAATGATGCCTCCTACATATTACATTGTCTTGTGTTGCCTACCTTATTGTTTATTTTCAGGGAAATTTTAACTTCCACAGAATTTATCCTCTCACTTCTAGTACTTACATAATCCTCAAGCCATATTAATAAATTAATTCAGGGATTATTAAAATTGGTTCATTCATAGTTGGCTATTTACTTCTTATTGACAATTTGATCAGCCTACTGACTGGAGTTTTGACACCATCAAAAAAATGCCTGACGGGCCCTCCCTGGTGGCGCAGCGGGTTAAAGCACTGCACTAAGAAACTTAAGCCACTTCCCCATGAGTTCGATCCCCACCTGCCCCGGAGGAGATCCACATGGTGCGGCAGACCTCTCCTGACCCGCCCGCTGCTCCCCTCAGCAGTGTACTTCATCAATCTGCCTGTTCTGCTCACCACTCTGTCCCTGGTGAATCCCCTCACCCTCTGCATCTCTGGCCTGTACCCCAGTTCTGTATGAATAAATAAATAAATCTTTTAAAAAAAAATGCCTGAGGTTCCCAGAGTTTTGGCCACTTGCTTCACACAGCTTTCACTGAATTTGAGAGTTATCAGCAGGGCCTTAAAAACCATCCCTCTTTAGCTTTTTTGGTAGGGCTTCCACCTTCACTCTAAATTCCTATTCATTATTTTGTGTCAGGGACAATATAAAAACAAAGTCCAAATCAGAAAAAGTTGATCATTTAGACAGCAAGACTGATTTTCATGTGTTTGTTTCTGTTTGTTTTGTTTTTTTTGTGTGACATTTTGTGTTGTTCTCTGTTTGAAATTAGTGCCTGTGAGATGATGCAGTTCATATGTTGCATTGCACTAATGTGGATTTAATATGACAACAGTTGTGAAGTCAGTATCATTCTAGTCAGAATCAACTAGACTAGTGGTACATTTGAAATTGGAGGTAGGAAGTAAATATTTTAAGCCCTTTCACAAATGAGTATTTTTTGGCTTCCCCCATTAGATTTTGTGATGACTCACTGAGGTTCAGCTAGAAATAAAATTTGTATCACCAATAATGGAAAAATTCTATAATTCAGTTTTGCTATAACCAGTTATATTTTAGTGAGCATTGTTGATGGTATTAGGACTTGTTTTACAAGCTTTAAAAGGTGCCGCTTTATACAGTAAATCATTTGTGTCTATTAAAGCTAAATGAAATTAAAGACTTTTACATTTATTTTTTTTATTATTATTTACTATACTCTTCCCCAAAATTCCACTCTAGTATCAGTGAAGTCAATATTGCCCCTACCATGGTCTTTGGATAGAAGGAGTCGAAGTTAAGAGGATAAGATAACCATGGTGACTTGAATTATTGTGAAATTCTATATTTAGGATTAAAAGATATTTCTATTAAAATATTCTATTCTTTCCATTTAAAAAATGTGTTTTTTCTTAAATGTTATGAAGGAGTTATCAATAAACTAGTTTTCTTATATGAGGATATTAAGAAATGTAGAGAACGACCTTAATGTGATATTTTCCCAAACATTTACTGTCTTAATTAGGTGCTGTATGTTATAGCATCCTTAAAAAAATCTTTCATTTTGATTTTAAAAATGAGTACTATAAATCTTCTTCGCTCAACAAATGGAAGTATGACTTGTCAACATTTCTGAATGTGTCAAAAGCAATTGGTAAAGCAAGCTTATTAAACAGTCATTTTATGTAAGAATAGAAATCTCAATGCCAATATTCTAACATTTTTTTAATGGATGAAACTGGCTGCTGACATATATTGGTACATATTTATAAATTCCAGCCAGTTGAAAATGTTATTTTCTAAACTATCATTTAATCAGACTTAATTAGAAGAGGATGTTAAGTTTTAGGTTCTCATTTCACATTGTTTGCAGGATCACAAAGAACTGGTGTATAATTATTCTTGTTTATTGCATTGTCTCTGCCCAAAACACTGAAGTTAGACATGGGAATTTAAAAAATTCAATCTTTGCTTCATAGTCTCCTTTGTTCTGTATGTTTTTAAATATCTACCAAATATCTATAATGATAATTATATATGTTTCAAGTATTGACTCACTAATATTAACTAATTGCAAGAAAATAATTTCAGGGTGAAATTTACCCATGGTAAGATTTCCTAAGACTCATAATTTTTGGAAAGGAAGTTAGGCAAAGAGTTTTGAAAGCTGCTTTAAGACTTTAATAGATCTTAGTAGACAGTGACCATGGGGTAGAGTAGTTTCTGTGGGTGGAAACTAGCACTTTGATTGGGAGCATTAGATTAATTTGGGGGGGGGGTCATTGACAAGTCTGTTCACTTTAGAGCTGCTTTACATTCCTATTGTAAAGTTGCCCACCTGTGTCTTGTCTTTCAGTCCTCCACAAACAACCCAGAGAGGTGTGTCTCTGTTTGCTAGAGCTTGGCCGGATTGCAGCCAGGTAGGTCAAATTACTGTTACTGTCAAGACAGGGACTAATAAACATCTAAGCATTGGGTCACTTGCTGGCCTTTTATTGCAGGTGTGTAACCTAGGTATTGAGGAGATACTTCCTCAAATATTATCACTACTGACACCTACAGAGTAGCTGTTTAAACAGAAAGCAAGCCACCAATATTCTTAACATCATCATCTTCACAAAACCAGTATCTCTAAGAATTTGCTGATATTCCTTTAATCAAATACATTCCTTTCTACAATTTCTTAGGGAGGGAGGAGACCCTTGTGAATAGTTTCCCTATTGAAAAATCTGTTCCCATTACTCTCCCTATTTAATCTTTAACAATTTTCAGCCTCCTCTTTTGTTACATTTTTTTCTCATTTTCTCCCCTTTAACAACTCATTCCTTAGCTCTTTTAGTTTCTACTTGTGAGTGGGATATAGTTTTTAATAGATTCTCCATGGTGTGATTAGAGAAAGAATATTCTTAAATAGAGACATCTTTGGACTATTTTTCTATGGAAATGAAAACAAGAAGTAATTGTAGAAATCATAATCACAGCTAAATAAGCAAAGGAAGAGGCTTTACTAGCTGAGCTGACTTACTACTTCTTTATTATCTTGCAAACCATTAAATAGGTTTCTGACAGTTCTTTGAAGCCCAAAGAAGTAAAAAATGCAGATACTAATGTGAGAAGTCTGGAAGCAAAATTAAAATTGAAAATTAGTTTTTTTTTTTCATCTAGATCTGGTTATGTTTTATGTTTGCGATCACTTGAACCTACATGATAAAATAAACTGACTCTGGATAGAATTTCTTAGATAAATTTATTTTTAAAATCAAGAAAAAGTAAATACAACATGTATACTTCAGCAAATTAGAATAAAACTTTCTGCCAATGAGTATATCTTTTTTATTTCATAGAAAATTAACCTGTAATCAGAAGTAACTCTAAGTTCTTTAAAACATCATAATTGAGGGCCCTCCCTGGTGGCACATTGGGTCAAAGCGCAGCACTGCAAAGCTAGCAGTGGCTGCTTCTACGCTTTTTCGATCCTCAGCCCTGTAAGTGACCCACATGGCACACCAGACCTCTCTTGATATTTTCGCTGCTCCCCTTAACATTGTACTTGTCCATCTACCTGTTCTGTTACCCACTCTGTCTCTGGTGAATCCTCTCACCCCCTCTGCCCTATACCCCTGTTCTGTGTGCATAAATAAATAAATAAATCATTTTTAAAAATCATAATTGACATAGTCTTCACAAACAAATCTCACTACAAAAACTGAATGCAAGAAAAATTGCTTTAATAAGAAAATATATATTAAATATGATTGAATCTCTATGCAAGAAGGAGTAAAAAATATCAATTTGAGATATCTGGAGGTTTTCTGACTGTCTCCCATACCATTCCCACATGGAAAGACTACTGGAAAGGGTTCCCTAAGCTTTCAGTTGCATGTCTACTCCTCAGGCAAATTTTGAATTTCTAGTTGCCCTTTCAGTGCTGCCACTTTCTTGGGTTCTGTAAAGGAGCAACATACAGGTATCTGTTGCTTCTTGAATTCTGCCAGACCCCTCCCTTACCAGTTCTGGGTCTGCTGGCCTAAAGACAAAGCATGGAGTCAAAGAAATACCAAAGACTCAAAATAAATCCTTTATGAAAGGGGAAGTTAAAAATATAGGGGGTAGACCCCATGTTTATTGCTGTTTTATTTACAATAGGAAAGATATGGAATCAACCCAAATGCCCCAAAATAGACTGGATTAAAAAGATGTGGTACATATACATGATGGAATATTACTTGGCAATCAAAAAGATAAACTCATGCCTTTTGCAGCAACATGGATGGAGCTGGAAGGGATCATGCTTAGTGAAATAAGCCAGAAAGAAAAAGAAAAATACTGGATGGTTTCACTCATAGCAGAAGCATAAAGGACCAGGGGGGGAAATAATAATAATAATGAATAACTACATACCAGAGACATTTTGCAGGTGTGGAGTGGGGAATGGGATCAAAAATGGGGGCATGGGAGGAAATGCATAGGACTATGGTGATGGCATATGGGTGATTTAGTGATGGCAAGCCCATAGGGATTACAACTGAGATGGAAAAATGCACAAAATGATATAAAAATAAACTATATATATATATGGAGGGTAGAATAAAATCTCCATAAGTGATATGCTGTTATTGAAATATTGGGTAATAAGAAACATGAGAATTCTAGAGTTGCTACTTAACAGATTAGGCAGAAAACTTTTTGATAGCAGTTTGTCTTAATTATTCTAGTAGAATATTCTAAAATGACAGATTCCGTTTTGTTGCTTTAATGATCTGAAATTGGGACTCAAATAGCCAACATGATTATGAAAGCTAGAGCACAGAGGTAGAAAGAGAATTTTACCTCCAGAATTACCTAGGATTGTCATTTTCCTCTTGTTTATTTTGTCTGTTTTCTGGATTTATTTTATTTTGTGTAACTACTTCTTTGTTATACGGATACTGTGACTCAGAAACATACTAGCTGTGATGGAAGACATGCTACCCAATGATAAAAGCCCTATAGAAATCACTTTTCCTCCAGCCCTGTCTTGCATAAAATGCCCTTTACAATAGTGGATAACATAGAAAACAAATTAAAATCTTGGTTAATGAAGGGGACTAATACTGGCTTTGCCAGTTTCAATGTGATGCACTATTTGAGGAATTTTATGCATCGATTTTTCCCAAATATTTTAAAGTTGTGCTTTTGGATTTCTCCATTTTTTCTAAACTATTCTATTAAGATAAACTGTACATATTTAATGTGTACAACTTGATAGTGTGGAGATATGTATACATCTGTGAAACCAATAAAACAGTCTATGGCATAAACATATCCATGACTTCCAAAAATTTTCTCTAAACTTTTTTATTATTATTGCCATCATATTTTATTGATAAGAATGGGCGTCTCCATTTCTAATCACACTTATGACCTTTTGACTTGAAAGCAGTGATTTTCATGTTACAAAAATGTTACCAATTCATAATCACATTACAAAAATATTGCTAATTGCACAAAAATATTACCTAAGAATTTAGATAAGCTTTATACTATTCAATTTGTAAAATTGCTTTCTGTTTTGCTCACCTATGTGAGTTGTGGCAAGTATTACACATTTATACTGAAAAAGAAAAAAATATGCAAAGAGTTTATTCAGGATGTTACTTTAGTTGTGTGCAGCATAAAGTTAAAAATAATCGAATGCCAAATGGATAAATTGAACATTTAAATACTGACTTAAGTTTCTCTCTGTACACATTTGAAGATATTTTATTTTAATGGAATTTCAATTGTGTTTTATAAACAGCAATCCAGTGAACCCAAGTTCTATTGTCTTAGCCTTGTGTTGAAACATACTAACTAAAAGAGGGAAATTCATCTCCCTGATCTAATTTAACTCCTTACTTTTTCTGCAAATATTTTAGATCTATAGCTCCTTATACATGTTCATCCTCCTGCAACTCCACCACCACAGAGAATTACATAAATAATTAAGACAGCTTGAGTGAAAAGTAGAAGTGACTTTGGGGGAGATCTCAAGAATCACAGCACTGATTTGCATGCATAACAGAAGAAATTTGACCATAACGATCTCCCCACTATGAGTTTTGTGTTTTTTATCTCCAGTAGATGATGGTTTTTATATTAGATTCTAAGCAATTACCTCTCAAAAATCACATAAATGTCAGCTTAAAAGTGTCAAAATCACTTTGGAAATGTTCCCAAAAATGTTTCTGATTCTCTGCCACGTTTCCTGCCTGGGAACACTCAGCAGTACTTGTCTGAGAGCTGTGGGCTGCTCTGAGATGGGAGAATGAGACCACTTATTTTTGTTCTCATGGGTAAAACTTCCTTTTGTTTTCAACTAAATAGAGTTATCATCACTGGAGAGTGAAATCACTCCATTAATATTTAAGAAACTGTGTCAGTTTCTGAATCTAAAATATGCTTGTTTGGCTTCTGAAAAGCAAAACACAGCACAAGCAGATCAATAAAATCTCAAAGATTGTTGTAATGATATTGCTGAAAAAGTCACATGCATTCAACATTTGTACAAACCATAATTTTAAGACTATTTTTGATATTTTGTATGAGGAACATAATCAATAATCAAACTTCACAGTGGATTTGCATGTCCTTTTTGTGGAAGTCTTTGATGTTGAACAAAAGTTATAGCCATTTTGAAATATACTTTGTGGATATTTTTCATAGTCTCCCATTTCAGTCCATAATCTGATGAATACATACTTTAAAGAAAAATATTTTTATACAAGACTTCCATGTGGCTCAAATTGATATTTTTACTCCTTGTTGACTGGAGATTCAATAACATTTAATATATATTTTTTAATTAAAGCAATTTCTTGTGTTCAGTTTTTGCAGTGAGGTAAGATTAATACCTTCACAGTTTGTGAAGTTTACATTACTTTGAAGTTTTAAAGGACTTAGGGTTACTCAGCTTGATGGACTCAGACTACTCAAAAAACTTAACTCTAATCAGGGGAGGGAAGAGCACAGGACTATGATGAAAATTCATAGGTGATGTGGAGAATTATGGGGACTACACCTGAAGAGAGAAATCAAATACTGTGCAGAAGTGAATGCCAATACAAGAAAATAAATAAGTTTGAGTTCTAAAAAAGAAAAAAAAAGGATAAATAAAAAGAAAAAAGAGAATAGACGTCTCCCAGCACAGAGAGCTCTTTGCACACAGCCTCACTAATGCTAACTATTCTCATCCCTTTTGAAAAAAAGTCTAGAAAGCATGTGGAGTAAATGGAATTTTTTTTTCAAAAAAAATAATAAAACACTTGATTCTCAGAACTAAAAATATCACAGGTTTCGATAGCCTTTGATGTTAACATTTTCCAAATCTAAATCTTTATTTTGCTTGAAAACAGAATAATAATGTAGTAACAAATGCCTAAAGAGTGACATCCTGTATTTCTGAATCATATAGTATACAAGGTATAAACCAATATTGTCCTAATAAAATGTTAATTAATTTAAACAACAATAAAGATGAGACAAAAATTATTTTACAAGAATCAATAAACCATGTTTAAAAATGCATTAACAAGCCGGAGTTTCTAAAATTTGTTCTTCTAAGCTTAATAAGATAGGCCCCAGATGTGTTGTTTGTCTGTTTGAAAACTTTAGTTGGAGTAAATATTCTGTTCAGAACTCAATTATTTCATCAAATCAATCTCAAATGTTTTGTGTCATGTGCCAGAAAATGAGAAGTCCATTTCTAGCTCCCCTCAAACCTTTTTTTTTTTAAAAAAGATTTATTTATTTATTCATCTAGAACTGGGGTACAGGCCAGAGATGCGGAGGATGAGAGACAGAGACAGAGCGCGGAACAGAACAGGCAGATCCACGAAGTCCACTGCTGAGGGGAGCAGCAGGTGGGTCAGGAGAGGTCTGCCACACCAGGTGGATCACCTCTGGGGGTGGGGATCGAACTCATGGGGAAGTGGCTTTAGCTTCTTAGTGCTGTGCTTTAACCCACTGCGCCACTAGGGAGGGCTCTCAAACCGTTTTTCTAGCACTTTCTTTATTCTTTTATGAGATAAAACAATCTATCCTGGTCCTTTCAGTAGCCACCCTGCTTCTTACCACCAGGAAAACAGAGGTGAAGATTTGCTTTGGGTTGGTTCAGCTTTCTCACTGTCTTTACTTTGTCCCTTATTCAGTTTGAGAGCCACACTGTTCTCTTGTCCCCAAATTTCTAAAAACTTGTAAAGTAGAAAACAGTATAAATTTGTGAAAACCTTATGGACAAATAGAAGTGTTCAGTGGTATAGAGTTAATCATGGAAACCAGAATGAAGCAGCCTCTTGGAGAGCAGAAAAAAAAGACCTATTTGGTGACTAAATTGGCCTGCAGGTGCGGGCTCTGAATCCGAGGGGGAATTTCGTGATTTACAGTCTGTTGACATCTCCAGACAGACAGGAAGCCAATGAATCGTATTTAAGTGTTCATTTCAGGACTGGCTGACTGTACTTTAGGCAGCTTGAAGTATTCAAAAGCCAATATAAGCAGAGATTTGGAGCTTAGGGCTGATTTTCTGTATTCAGTGGCATAGCTAATTTTCAGCATTTACAGATAAAGAAAAATCTCCAGGGCAAGGTTTTCTATGCATGTCTTTGTTACCAATTTCATTCAAATTTAAGCTACTTTGTTTGTGCCATGGAGTTGAGTCTGTTGTTACTCTAATATATTTCTTATTATTTCACTTTGTAAAGCAAATAAACAAAAGCTATGCTATCTGTTCCTGAAAGGTGGCAAGAGTCCACCTATAATTACAGATGAAATCATATTTTCCAATTGACTTGATTTAATCTTTCAAATATGGTGTTTTCACTTATGATTGACTTTTAATTGGCTGTGACTTCTAGTGTGTTAAATTCCTCAAGCCTCACGGTCCAGTTTATGTTATTCTCTTAAGAACATTAAACAGAACAAAATGGTGTATTTTAATGTAATTAGGAATCCAACATGGTTTAGAGGTTTGCCTGCCAAAGTCCATCCTGTGAGTTAGTGGTAATACTGACTTTCTAATTTTTTCTGTGCTCCAGACTGAACTATTTTTGACATGCCACAATTCTAGGAACCTTAACTTGATAGCCTATAGCAAGTTCTGCTGTAAAGTATACATGGATGACTAATAATACAAACAAAAGTAGACTGTTACATTATTTCACTTGGTGGTAGAATATACTGAAAAAATTAAAACTTTGATGAAGGTCTTTTAATGCTGTATTTTCCTAGTCAGGCAACTACTGATGCATCAAATAATGTATCAACAGCAATCTCAGAGGTTATGTCAGACTGTACTAAGCACGTAATCACTATTGTGTAATTCTTTCTAATGATATTAAGGCACAAAAATTAGAATTTCCCAGGCCTCCATGGTGGTCCAGAAGCTGAGTCTTAGCACTATCACCAGAATAACTTGAGTTTGATCCCTTGGCCAGGGAGCTGACCTACATGGCACAGCAGACCTCTCCTGTCTTGCCCCACTGCTCCCCTCAGCTGTGTTTTTCAGTAAATGTATTTCAGTAAATCTTCCTGTACTGCTCCCCACTCTGTCCCTGGTGAGTCCCCACTTCCCCTGCACCTCGGGCCTAGACCCCATTTCTTAAAAAAAAAAAAAAATAGAATTTCCATTTCCATAAAAATGAGGTTTACAATCCTGTGTACTAAGAAGTTCAGCTAGGCCAGTCACATGGAAGATAGTCCATCCCAGTTGCCTCTGTAACTTTCTTCTCCTCCATCTGCTGCCACAGCTGCACACCACAGCCGGTCATTTTGTTGCTACTTCCTGATGGAAAACAGAATCCTAGAGGTTAAGTGATTTATTAAATTTAAAGAGTAGTTTGGGCCTTCCCTAGTGGCGCAATGGGTTGGGAAGCAGCAATGCCAGCGACTCCATCCGCTTCAGTGCTAATTTAATCCCTGCCCCAGAACTGACCCAAATGGGGCAGATCTCTCCTGGCCCACCCACTGCTCCCCTCAGCAGTGTACTTTGTTGATCTGCCTGCTCTGCTCCCCCCGCTTTGTCTCTGGTGAAGCTTCTCACCGCCCAAGCACCTCTGCCTGTACCCCAGTTCTGTGTGTCTACTAAATAAACAAATAAATCTTTACAAATAAATAAATTTAAAGAGTAGTTTAATGGCACAGTTAGTTCAAGTCTACCTCAAGGAAGAGGTTAAACCAACTTTTATGTGAGTTTTGTTGGGACTTGTGAACAGAAATGAGATGCTGGATAGAGTTCTCCACAATTAATAAGTATTGGAAGGTAAAGAAAAATACATATTTTAGTGTGGGACACAGCTTAACATCTTCTAGAAGAATTTTTGAAGTGGGGGAGAGCATTATGAACTACATAAAATGTCTACATATTTTATGAAAATGATAGGAACCAAAAACAATGAAACCCACTTTTTTTTCCCCTCTGGGAAGCAGCAATCATTATTATATAAAAATACAAGATTTTTTTTTTCATTCAAATAATATTAAATACCTACTGTGTGCTAGAATCTATGTATGCTGGGGGTCAGACAGAGGTGTCTGTTACAAAATTTGCTGTCTATTATATGTTTCAACTAATTCCCATTAAATAGGTCATATGTATAAAAGGTTAGAAATATGATAATTGGTATCTATTTCTTTTAACTAATGATTAATATAACTAAAAATTATCCCATCTTCTGAAGGCAATCTCAAAAGAGTAATTGCTCAGTTGAATCATGCCAGCTTAAACTGCTTTCTACTGAATTCTAGTAGTTCTTCTGCTCTGTGATACATATCATTCCACCTTTACCATCTATTTTCTGGAAAAAAAAAATAAGAGAGAGAGAAACTGATAAAAAGAGAGGCAGATGGGAAGTCAAATATCACTTTGATAACCAGTAAGATCCTAGTTGGTAGACAGGCTTGGTATTTTAACTGAGTACAGAATTAGGCCAATTATCTCTTTAATTATAAACAGAGATGATAGAGATGATGTTCCTGGGGAGGCCTCCATGTAGGCAGGAGGAGAGTGGACTGAGTCAAGCACAATCAGTTTGCTCTCATTTTGATAAATCCCTTCATTTTGTTAGAATTGAGTGTGGAACAAAGGAGAAAAGACAGGAATTCAATCAAGTTCCCCCACAAGAACAAAACATCAAAAGCAGGGAAATTGCTTCCCCCTGGAAGTTTATACTGAACACATGTGTAATGATAATAGTTGAAATAGCACATCATTAGGGAAGGAGAGTGACCTAAGTTTACTTTGAGTGATGTTTTAATAAACTTTACACTTTAAAGACACAAGACATTGTCAGCGAATTCATTCTCTGTACTTTTTAAACTATGTATATAATCTTCATAATCTGTTTTTTAATCTCCAACTGATTCTCAGCAAAAAATGATATCAGGTCTGAAGTTAGAAAGCCTGTATTTGTGTTTTTGTCTGGTTCCTGGCTAATTCTAGCCCTTTTCTAGACTTATACTTTTATTTGTAAAAAGAAAGAGTATAACTAGTTAATCCTAGAGGTCTTTCCACTCTCATATTCTGGAATTATCTTTGACTTCTTCCATCAAGATGTAACTGTTATATATTGAAAAATGCAAAACAATTTTAAGTTAAGCCTGAGAAATATATGACTTCAGGAAAGAAGATAACTATATCTGTCTCTTTCTCTGAACCTTTGTGGTATCTGTAATTTACAATACACAATTTTTAAATCTTGTTATTCTAAATTATTTCTATGTTTTTTTTTCTTCATTTCCCTTCCCGGTAATACTATACATGCTTTATTATGTTGATCTTAAGAGCATAACCTAGATACTATAGTCCCACACAGCATAGCTCTGGGCTTGTAGGAAGCGTACAATTAACAGTAAATTTCTTCCCAGTGGAATAATTTAGGAATGTTGATTTGGGGGGATTGCTGTTTTAAAACTTGATTCCAGCTGATTTTCTTTCCATCTTTACAAAGCTTGTGTTCAAAATAGGAACTCAGAGACAGCACAAATACCTAATTAAAGTTAGTCAACCTGAAAGCTGGAGAATAAATTTTATTTTTTTCTTCATGATTCATTAATACATTACATGTGATATTTTTATTTATTTTCAGCTTGTGATTATTTGTTTGTTTATATATGTGCATATTTATATACTGTAGATGTGTTTTTCAGTGCTTAAAGAGCTGCCAATTTAAGCACATTACAATGCCAGAAAAAGGTAAGGTTTCAAAAAGTCAGCAATTTGCTCTGTGCTGTTCACAATCAAATGTGACACATAGTTAAGTGTCTGGTCATTAATTATGCATGTGTGATTTGGTATCTTTTAAAAGGTATGGTGTGGAGCCTCCCGGGTTGATAAAATTAGAAAAAGAGATTGAACAAGAAGAAACACTTTCTGCCCCTTCTCCTTCACCTTCTCCTTCATCAAAATCTTCTGGAAAAAAGAGTACAGGAAATTTACTGGATGATGCAGTAAGTAAAATTAACCAAACTTTATTAGAAGTTTTTAGAACTTTTTAGAAGTTTTAAACTTTTTAGAACTTCAAAACTTGCCCTATACAACCTCTTCTCAGTCTATACAGTTTCTTCTTGGTCTAAACTTTAGTTTAACTTCACTGAAATTCATATTAAAATCCTATGATTTTAGAATCTTATGACTTTTTTGTAATCCTATGATTCATCTTGAGATTCAAAAACTGAGTTATTTAAAACAAAGTGTCAAGTCTGTTGAATATATCTATTACAGCATAGTAAGTCAACCTCTTAAAAACTTCTTGAAGACACATAGTTTGTCATTAGTTTTCGGTTTCTCTGCTCACACAGAAGAAATCTGAGGCAAGAGATCTTGAAGCTTGCCAAAGACTGGACTGCTAACATACTGCAGAGAAGATAACTGGCTTCTCAGCTCGCCCTCTAGGGGTCGGAATCTATCAATGTTTCTCAAATGCTCTTATCTCTAAAGTAGGCTGCTGATGGAGGAAACTGAAGCCTAGAAGTTGGATCATCTGATGAGGCAAGAGAGGAGTTTAAATTCGCAGCCAGTTTTTTCAGACTTTCTGAGGTCTCAGGTCCCCCTCCTTAGCAGACCCCTTGAGCCATAGTCTGACCAACTAGACAATAATACACCTTCGAGCACAGAAAATAGATTCTGAGTACGATGGCAAGCAGGATGAATTCAAACTCTCCGACTACCTCTGCTACCTGGTAAATAGTTCTTGGTTAAATGTAGTGTGTATGAATATATGTACTCATCTATCATCAACACATACATTCATTTCAAAATGCAAAGAAAATACCTATGTATCATAGAAAATGGCCAGCTCAAAAATTTAGGTTGAAATATGTGTCACCTGTATGGAAAGTGTCCTAGAGAACTAGTATCCACCAAAAAAAGAATGAAGAAATCATGAAGGAAGGCAAAAAATTTCACCGAGTCGTGATATACAATCGTCATCTTTATGGCATCTATGTGACACTTCAGTCAAAGTATAAACATGTTTATCCCGAGAACTACATAGTAAATAAGAGCCAGTTGTAGGCAACTGCTTTGTCAGGTGGCCTACTTGAAGTCTTCCTAGTGAATAATGGCTGTGTGGAATAGCTAAGACTGAAGAGGATGGCAGGTCTCCATTTGACAGTTTCCCTCTCTAAACTCTGAGCTGAAAAGAGCTGGGATAGAGAGTGGTAATGGCGACTGGGAGCATAAAGAGAGATTCACCATCTTTTGCTTTCCTTCATGTCACACTGTATTTTACCTAAAAAATTTAGATTACCAGAACTGTAACAATATGTCTGACCAATTGAGAAATCCCATTTCTGCAAAGGGCAACAAGTTTAATCTCTTAGCCAAAGCTAGTTTAATTTAGTTTTCTTTCGTTTGGTCCACTTACGAATTAAAGAATAGGCAGGGAATTTAATATTATGCCACCTAAAATGATTTTGAGTTCACTGTTCTTCAGGGACAATCTTTAATTCTGTTCTCAAGAACCAACCATGTGCCTTGTCATAATATTTCATATTTATTTTGTATGTAAATTGAATAACATATTGTATTAATAGTAGATAATGATTGTTGCATTTATATGTTGATGAGAACAATTTTTTTCTACTCCTATTTTAGCTTAAGCTTACTTTGGAGTAAGAAGTTCCTTTAGTCTTCCCCTTGTACATGTGTACAAGGGGCTACCACACCAGATCTTGTTCTTTGTCCTCTCAATCATCACTTCCGTTCATTTTCTTTAATATATTACAGCCAGAGTTCTGGCTAGTTTCACATTTAACCTCCTAGTGAGCGAATTTACTGAATCAAATAAACTTTTTCTAGTCCTCAGATTATGAGGTTATGTCTGATGTTACAGTGTTGAACATTCTGTCCTTGAATTCTTTTCCATAAATTTTATTTTAACAGAATTGTCAACCTATGTGCCACTCAGATTTGGCTAAAGCTTTGAGTTCCTTATAGCATCCAGGGAAAAACCAAACTCACTTATTTCACATCAACCCTCCATTGTCTGGCCTATTGTACCCTTGCAGACCTTTTTTGCCCTCTGCCCAAAATTCCTGAAGACATTTTTATACCCTGAGTTTTTCCTCACTTGTTTTTCTTCACCATACTTTGCCTACCCAACTTTTTAGTCTACCTTGAAATACTATTTTACCTTATAAAATTCAGACCTATATAAGTTTTCTCGGTCTATCTCCATCCAGGTAAAAGAGAGGAATCTATCCTTGGCCATGCTTACTGAATGTAGACAATGTAGACAGTTAAAGAAACCCTTTCTCTTTTTTTCTACTTATATGGAATGGCTACATTCAAAGAAAATATGTGTAGCTTTTCAAAGAGAGGAGTGTTGCTACTTGAAGACATTTATAGGTACCTGGAAGAAGCGGCTAGAAAAGTTGGTATGGGATCAAGGGAGAAGAGGGACAGGAGGGAGAAGGTGATAAAACATCTGTGAAAGGGATTTGGAAGAGTTTTACTAACACCCAGTTCAGAAGAAATAGGAAGAGATAGATATCTCTTCAAAAGACAGTTGCTCTGTTACTCTTAGTCTTTGCACACAATGGAGGGAATTTCAGGAGAGCTTAAACCCTCCTTTCAAATTACTGGGTTTTACCTGAATGTAAGAAATATGCAAAGTAGATACTTCTGTACATTTACCAGGTCGAATATTGCATTCTGAAGTTTTTGAGCAGGCCTATCTTATAGAATATGTAATAAAACACTAACACTACCACGTGACAAATGGAAAAGAATTCCATGGCTGAGGGTAGTTTGACTTTATAGTTTACTATATTGTCCCTACCTGAGAATGGCAAAGCGCCTTGGTATATCAAAGGCAGTAGTGAGGTACACAATAAGATTGTGTTTAATCTGGAATTTCCCAAATATTTTAACAACAAAAGTGTCTTACCCTCCTTTATTCTATATTGTATTGAGATATTTGCATTTATTTACATGATGATTTTTCCACAAAAGTGTTTTATTTCAGAGAGTGAGAGAAAAGTAATTTAATTTGAGCCTCACAAATGTCTTAAGTCAGGGCCTCATATGTCAAATATAAAAAGGAAATAGCTCCATGGCAACTGCTTTACATATATGAAGCATATATAACCTCTAGGGAATTGAAATTCATATACTGCAACATGTAGAGGTTAAAAAAAAATAGAGATTGTTTGCAAAGTTCCTGTGTTTAATAGTTTTGACTCTCTCTATTCTGGTGAAGTTATCTCTACCAAAACAAAACAAAACAAAAAAAGGTGGGGAAGAATGGACTGTTGAAAGAAGGGGGAAAAAATAACAGAAGGGAAAAGAAAGAAGAAAGATAAAAGCGATCAAGAGAAGAAGCAGACCTGTGGTAAAAACAACATTGTCTAGTGAACAATTTCAGCCTTCAGTGCCAGTTTTGAAACTTTGTTTTCTCACATTTCCCTGATTTTAACAGAAACTGAGGAAAATTGAAGATAATAATAAGTGACACTTATATGGAGACAATTCCCACCTTCTTTAATCCAACTATCATAAAAGAAACAATGAAGTACATTCACATTAATTTATTCTCCAGATGTGCTGATAGATGATTCAACTGTGATAAAAATGGTGGGGTTGGATTGAGTTCTCCTGTTTGTATTCCCCTGTGTAGAGCTAGTTCCCACACAATGAGTTGAATACAGTTCTAAGAAACCATTCTTACTTTCATCCTCTTCTCCATCAACTTCCTCAGTCTGGGGATGAGAGATAGTATAATTCTGAGTAATCAGGCTCCTCTTGAAATCCCATTTCATCAGAAAACTGGCTGGGTTCCTAGCTGAAGACAGAACACCTGGCCAACTGACTTATCCAAAGGTAATGTAAGAAGCACAGATGTCATCGGCTCTGTTTACTTAATAATCTATTTCCACTACCTACAGTCTGGCTTTGTCTCTTCTATTTCTGCCTCCACTTCACACAAGACTACAAAAAAAACCCTTGATTTTCAAAACTAAGTCCCATTTTGCAAGCTTTGGAATGCATTAGAGGAAGGCAGAATACTTTAAAACATGGTTTTGTATGTTTTACTTTATTTGATACCAACAGATTCTTGGTTTTGTCTATAAATACTTCAAGATGGAAATACTGCCCATATATACTTTTTCTTAGGAGAGGAATCATGGAAACACCAATTTATTGTTTGTTGAATCACTACCTGACAGTAAGCCATACCTGGCATGACCCTTCTAAGTTTGGACCATGTGTTCTATGAAACTGTCTGATTTTCTTATAGATGGATAAAGCCATCTCCTCCCTGTCTCCTTTCTTCTATTACTTCTTTTCTGATGGAAACCCTTGCTGGAGTGATAAGGAAAAGCTATAAATATCTTCAAGCCTTAATAGAAATTAAATATAAAATATACACACACACATTTATACTTTTAAAGAATTTTTATAAATGAATTTTATAATACATATATAGAAATAAGAACACTGAAAATAGCACCCACAAACACACATATTTACTGGTCCTGGTACCCCATTGCTACCTGAGACTGTATTTCTGTGTTATGGAAGGAAATAGCATTATTATTACTCAGTTTTGTTCCAGTTTCACACTCCCATTCAGGAATATTTCTTCAGAAAGTACTGGGCAGAATTCTGTGAACTGAACACATGTGCCATTAAAGAACTGTACTTTAATCAAAATTTTAAATGGTGATGAAATAGGGTCTGAGCCCACAATATAATAGACATTAAGGGTAAACAATAACTGAGATGTAATTTGCTATGATAGAAGTAAGTACCAAAATTTGTAGCTTTACTCATTGGCATGACCAGGGATGCAGAAAGGACTTAAGAAAGCATCTATCCTCAGGTTGGTTCTCTTCTTTTTCTCTATCAATAGCGGTTATTCTTGTGTCTTCACTAGGCATAATTGTATTGTCTTTAAAGTTAGTTTTGCTTCAAGTAATCCTTCATCTTTTCTTGCTTTACTTCCTTACTACTGGGATCTCTTGTACTCTAGGGAAACCAAGCTGTTCAATTTCTTCATACTTAATGTATTTGAATTTACATGTGTTAACTTTTCCCAGTTTTGTCTTTAGAGAAGGTTGATTGAAATCAGAATTGTTTGAAGAAATAATTGAATTTCTTTGATGACAAACCTCTAGGAAGCATGTCTTTGTGGCTCAAAGAATTTGAGCAAGGGTAATCCAAACTAGTTTTTTCATAATCTAAATGCATTCTATCTACCTTTTCAAATGCAGACTACATGTTATTTGGATCTTTCTGTTTCTTCCTTTGGAAATTTTTGCAAAGCATAGAACAGTCTTATTTTTGTTTAGTGTGTTTAGTTGGTTCATCAGTTGAAGAGAGGAGAATTACAAGACACATTATGGCAAGTGAAACAATAACCTTATTTCTAAAATCATAGACTATACTTTGTCTTCTAAAAGTCATACATATTTATAAACATTGTGAATGTGTCATTTATATTGTGTGTTTTTAGGAGGTAGAGAGAGTATATAGAGATAACCCGATATTCAGACATAAATTCCATAAAGCGCCTACAGTGTTTTAGACGTAGGTACAGAGATAGGTTTTGGTGGGTGAACATTACTGGGTGGAGTAACTTGCTGAATTAATCTCAGTGAATTATAGATGCCTTCTTAGAGAAAGCTTAGAGTTCAAAATAAGGAAAAAAAAAAGTCTCATTTAAAAAACTTGTTTAAGGCCTCCCTTGCAGCACATGGGTTAAAGACACAGCTCTCTCAGGCTATTGGCAGCCACTTGGCAGGAGTTCTATTCCCAACCAGGCAGCTAACCACATGGTACAGCAGCCCACCTCAGCAGTTTATTGCAGTAGATCTGCTTCTTCTGCTCCCCACTCTGTCTGGTGAATGCTCTCACCTCCTGCACTTCTGGCCTGTACCCCAGCTCTTATATATGTAAATAAATAAATTTTAAATAAATAATTGTTTAATTGATACTTAATTTGAAAATGGGTAAAGCCAGCATCATTAAAATAACTTAAACTCTGTCTTAACATACAGGCTATTCTAGTTTTGAGCATATTTATTTTGGCAACCCAATGTATGTGTGTTATTTGGTTTGTTGGTTTTTTTTTATTTCTCCAAAGTGAGAGTCCAGCCCCATCTTTCCTGCCCTGCCAATTGATTTACTCATAGTATCCTCCAGCATTACTCTCTTCGTCATCTACTTTATGTTTTAGTGTAATTATTGTCTTTCAGAAAATATATTAGGAGTCATCTTTATATAGTGAGGATTTAATGTGATCTCTGTGTGCTCATATCATAGCCATGGCCTGATGGAGAACAAATTTAAAAGCATTCATGGGCTGAGGGCCTTTGAACACATAGACCAAATTGGTCTAAATGGGACCTATTAAGGATCATGAACTTGCTAGCTCTTCTCTTTCAGGTGAAACGGATTTCTGAAGATCCTCCTTGCAAATGCCCAAACAAGTTCTGTGTGGAGAGACTCTCTCAAGGAAGATACCGAGTGGGAGAAAAGATCCTCTTCATTAGGGTAAAGTTATAATTTTCACCTTATTTTTTGTCACTTGTGAGATTCTTTGGGAGTTGAGTTGGGGGTTAGAGGGAAATATAACCAATAACTAAGAAGCTTCCCTTATGATGCCTACAGTTGGATTTGAAGATGGGAAGAATTCACATTTTCCAGTGCACCAGGTTTGATCACTATCAAGGGCTAAATAAATAGAATATTGTCCTCTTTTTACATATGCACAAATGCACATAGCAAATAGATCATGGAGGTTAAATAAAATGAAAAAATAAATATTTCTTTTTTGCTTATACATTTAATTTCAAAAAAGCTAACCTCTCCACCTCTACCCACTACCACCACCACCAATGGAAAATTAAAACAGTATTTTGCCCTACCCTATATGTGAAGTTATGGAAATGGCCATTCTCTTGGTCCTGGGTAATTTTCAGATTATTTAAACATGATTATTCACAAAATTTGGATTATGAACTAGAGTGAGAATGGAAGTTCATTATAGTAGCATGGTTAAATGATCATTACCATACTACCTTAGTTTTCTGGGTTAGAATAAATGAATGTAAAGCTATGCTAATAAATGACTTTGTGGCCTCCACATTTTACACATGTGGTGGTCTCCACAATTATCCTTGTTTAAATGTTAGTTAAATATCATGAACGATTTTTTGATTGTAATTAGTGACTAAGCACAATGAAATTCCAGGTCTTTCACTTGTGATGTTTTGTTCATAATCAAGGGAATTGGATTTCTCAAAATAAATTTGTGACTTTTGCTAAAACCAAGCACTATTTTCAAAACTAAGAAAATGAATATATAGCTCAGATATATTCCTAGAATGATGCAATTAAGTATAAACATTTTCTATCTTATTTTTAGTCATTTCCTGAAAAAACAGTGATTATGATTCAAAAGAGCTAATCCTCTTCTCATTTGAATATGTTAAACAAATCTTGTTTGTTATATTATAAAATGATTTGAATTGTATACCTAGTCCAGTTAATGAGCATTCTTAACACTACTCAAATCAGTAAAGATCCAGTAAAAATTTTGCCAGTGTAATTTTTACCTAATTTCAAGTTTTGACTGAAAATTTATTTGTATAACAAGTTTTACTTTTAAGACACTGCAACATGATATGTAAGAAAAAAATCCAATCATAATTAGGCTTAAAAAAAGTCATTTTGTATTTTAATTGAATTTAGTGTTTATAGATTTGAAAAAAAAAAAAAAACTCCATGTAATAATTGCTCTTCTATTTGGAATGCAATGAAAAGAAAAAAAATGATATGCTGTTATCATTTTAAGAACAATATAAAAGAGAGTGGCTTCCCAGAGACAGATGCCCTGGCCATCACTTACTGTTCCTTGTATTTTATTGCAAGGATAACATACCTAAAATATTTGTTTTAGCCAAGCTGCTTGCTTTCACTTTAGTATATTAAGAAACAATAATGATTTTACATTTACATTTTTACAAATGTGTTTAAATTTTACACTGTTGACATTTCTTGAGACTCAAAATTCTGCAGAATATTAGGCCCAAGAGCCAAACAAAAATTCAGGATTTTGTTTAAGCACTTTTCCTTTCTTGGGAGTAGAAGTGTTGATACCCCAAGATTACTCAATTTCAGATTTCCCCTTTAACATAACATAATATCTTCAGTTAATAATATAAATTGAATATATTTACTTTCATCTAGTCTTCTGTATTTAGTCAGTTTGTCCACACATTTGTTATATATTTATGAATAATATACATTTAGGTAACATTTAACATTCAAGATATTCTTTGATGTTCCATTTTTCTTTTTGGAAAATGGTTTCCTTTGGTAAAATATATCAATGTATTATTTATAGAGGAATTGAAATTTGCCACCAGGGAGAAAATGATTTTAATTATAAGCAAATGAGTAGTAAAAGTAGGATTCAAGACTTATCTAGCCCAAATTTATGCTCTTTGCTAGGAAGCAATACTGATTTCCTTATCTGTGATTTTCTGGGATTTCTTGGAGAGTTCAACCTAGGTGATCTATTCATCTCTAACATGAGCTATACTATTTAGCATTTACCATATGTATTTGGCCATAAAAATGGATCCCCCTCACCACTTTTTTTCCAGAGCATCATTCTGGGCTAGAATATCATGAAAATATCTTTGAGAAAGACATTATCAATTGAAGTGAGTTTAAAAATGAATTTGTAACATAGAATTAAACTGAAGTAAAATTTTCTGTATCTTTCCTGAGTTAAACCCATATATTGTTACTAGTACTAGGTAGATAACATTTGCATTCATTTTTACAATTAAGTTCCATTTGGAAAAGATAATTTTTAAGAACTAGAAGGGATGATGTTAAACCAAATAACTCAGAAGGAGAAAGACAAATATTGGATTACTTCTCTTGTATGTAGACTATAGAGAAACAAAGCAAATAGATAAAACTAAACCAAACAAACCCTAGAAATATGACTGTAGAGTCAAGTTTACCAGAGGACAGTTGGGGTGAGTGACATAAGGGGCAAGGTGCCCTAGGAACTATGGTAGAGGACTTTGGGTGATTTCATAGTGGGTGTGGTGAAACACCATACATCTTCAGTGACGGGAACCTGTACCTCTACATCACACAGTGTTGAAAGCCAATGTTACCTCTATAAAAAAAAAAAAAGAGGTCATATTTTTAAAAAAGGAAAAACAGGGCCCTCCCTGGTGGCGCAATGGGTTAAGAGCAGCACTGCAAGCTGGTTGCAGCTGCCTACCACAGTGCGAGTTCTATCCCCTACCCAGGAGGTGACCCACCTGGCCTGGCAGACCTCTCCTGACTCACCCGCTGCTCCCCTCAGCAGTGTGCTTTGTCGATCTGCCTGTTCTACTCACCACTCTGTCTCTGGTGAAGCTTCTCACCACCCCTGCACCTCTGGCCTGTACCCTAGTTCTGTATGCATAAATAAACAAATACTTTATTTAAAAAAGGAAAACAACTAAAATTTAATAAGGATTATTTGTGCCAGACAATTTATAAATACCAGGTGCCCTATATACAGCTTCACTGAATCCTAACATATTCCACTCCAGGCTGCCTCCCTGTGGCATGTTCATTAAATACAAGCATTTTGTTCACAAGGTTAGTGTGTCAAAAAAGATCTGCACCTCTAAACAATGTATTTAGGGCTCAGTTACATACTCATATGTTCATTACACCATTTTTATACTAAAAATAGTCAAAATGCACAGAGCATTACACTGTGAATAATCAATAATGCCTTCTATAAAGAAAGGAATATACTTGCCTGACTGTATTTCAATAGTCATAAAGATTACAATAATATTTATTAGGTGTTTACTGTATACCAGATGCTGTTCAAAAAGCTTCATATTACCTATCTGACTTAGTAGGTAAGACTAATTAGAACGCTATATCATATATTTTATCTCTTCTTACATCTTTTTAATAGACATCAGAAGAAAATTCTTTATTGTTAGTACAGTTTTGTTGAGTTTTTTTCATAATTGTAAACACTTTTTACAGTGGTTTAATATTACAAGACCCTTTTTTAGCAGACCTTCAGAGATGTACAAAATAATATACTGTTCCATGCTATTGCTTTAATGGTTTTGAGATTCTTTCTCACACTGAAAGAAATGTGACTGCTTAAGGAACCTAAAGAGAAGGCAATGAATTATTTAATTGGATGTCAACAAAAGGATGTGAAATGCTATGAAGTCATCTTCTTGTTACCTTTTTTGCATTAAAAATCATTTCTGATCACCAGAAATTTCAGCGGCATTATTATTGATTCCTTGTAATTTTTTCCTTACCATAAAATCCTTCGGGGTTATTCCTATGTGGCAAAATTCAACTCACTGTAACAAACCAAGCAAGAGAGGCACTAGAGCTCTGTTGCTATAGCAACCAAACCTGGCAATGTCTTCTGGGATTGCTCTAAAGGAAGGTCCAATGGTAGTGAGCGATATTGCTTTTTCTTTCCTGCTCTTATGACACATATTGATTTACTGTGAGTAAAAAGTACCATGGCTCAAATTGCATACCTTTTCTACTCATGAAAAATAGACTGTTGTGAAAAAATGCAAACGAGTTTTAAACAAATAGTGTGGAGATTAAAAATTCATTTATCTTTAAACAAAGTAAATAAACAACCTCTCATCTAATCTAGGAATATATGGAAGTAGTGTTTTTGTGTTCAAAAATAGTAATGTATATTTATTTATAGAGAAAAATATATGGTCACATTTGCATCTAATCTATGTAAAATCTCAGACATTTAAAGTGCTCTGATCTATGGTGAGAAACGTGGCTGTAATTATTAGCACATGAGTGTTTTCATACTGATTCATTTTGCTCAGCTGCTTCAAAACAGAGCACTAATTTAGGAAAAGCAAACAGCACAATGATGCAAATGGATTGAAATGTGTCAATTTCACATTTGAATTATTTTTCATAATATTTTTGCTCCATTAATGACACTCCCATTTGTTGGAAATTTTTTCATGTTCAATGGGCTTGGGCTAATAACATGGTTATAATTTACACTTTGGTAACACAACTCTCAAAGGACTTTACAAATGTTAATCAATCCTCTTAACCTCTTCTCTCTGAGAAAAGCATATATCTTGGATGATTGCAAAATAAATAATGATTAACCATGGACTAATGCATTCAGCCAGTAGAGTGTTGTTTTTCTGAGATTTACCTTTGAGATTGAAAAATTTTTAAATGTAGAAAAATTGAAATGAAGCTTTGTCCAAGATTGTACTCCACACTACATTAGATACTACTGCTAGAAGAAGGGAAATATAAAATTTGATCTGTCTTACAGCAATGGAAAGATTAAAAAATATATTTGGCAAGTCTCTATATTCTTAGTGAAGTTAGAGAATTCATTTATTTTCTTCCAATGAATTTTTAAGGAAATGCATCAAGGATAAAGAACAATAAATGTGGGTAAAAACCAAGAATCCCTTTTCTCTGAGAATACACCATTA